CTGTGGTCATGTCAAGCTGGCCCCACAGCAGGACAGCCTCTAGGCCCTGCAGCGCACGGGGGTGAAGTGAGGGAGTCAACAGTATTGACCACCCTCACACTGCAGTAGTGGTGGCGGGCGCTGCTTGGAGCCCTCCTGTGGAGGAGCTCAGCACACCTCACAACCACGTCAGGGAGGCTCCGGGCCATCCTCCATTCACAGACAGGAACACGCAGGTGAGATGGCTCACCCCCAAGATCCATGTCCCTGGGTTTGGAAGGGTCACCTGCTTGGACAAAAACCATTTCCCACCACCAACCAGCAGTGCTTTCTAACTGTGAGAGTGTCCTCTCGCCACCCGCAGGGCGGCCGCGGCCTCCTCCCCTGGCTGAGCTGTGCCGGCCCCCAGGGTCCAGAGCAGTCCAGCCTCTCAGCAGCAGGTGGACCTGAACCTGGAGGCCTGCCTGCCCCCTGCTGGAGACAGGGTGCCCATCCTCTCAGGGGTGTCTTGTGGATGTCACATAAGCACCATGGGACACCAGCAGAACAAGCCTGTCTCTGTACCCATTCAGCGAGGCGGGTATGGAGGCCCAGAGAAGGGAGAAGTCCTACTGGGGTCACTCTCCTCAGCATCTTCATTTCCTTTTGAAGTACACAGTAGGGATGGGCCGCGCAGCAACAGCAGGGTCAAGGCAGGGAGTCACAGCCAGTGGCCAACGCCAACCCCTTCCTCCCCTGGGGTCCCCGTGGGACTTTCACCAGGGCACCGGTCACCTCTGTGCTGCCATTTCTGGACACTGGCACCCTGGGAGGCAGTGAGAGAGCACAGACCTGACCAGAGGGAGATGCTGGCTGTGGCGGCTGAGGGCGGCGGGGAGGAGGCCTGAGGCGGGAGGCCGGGGGCCCAGTGCCAGGCTGACTGGGTGCTCTGTTCCTTTCCCGCCCGAGTCCCACCCAGAGCCCCAGGCAGAGGCAGTGCTGGGGTGGCTGACTGAGGAAGTGGAGGCCGTGATGCCCGACATGACATGCCTGGACTGTATGATTCCACATCATGACCTTGGGAGACAGTTAATCTTAGTGTCCCCAAGTCACAGGAAACCGAGCCCCAGGTCACATCACCACCCCAGGAGGCAGAGGTGGACCATGAGAGCTGGGCAGTCGGGGTCCAGAGACTGGGCACTGAGGGGTGACACTGTGCCCCCTGCTCTGGAGTCCTGGAGTCAGGGGGCACCGGAGGAGACAGGGCGATGCCCTCCCAAGCGGGGGGCCATCCTGGTCTCTGCAAGCTGTGAACGTGGCACCTAATGTGGACCAGGGACCTTGCAGACAGGATCAAGTTATGGATCTTGAGACGGGGAGATGATCCCAGGTCACTGGGAGGCATCCTCACAGGTGAAAGAGGGAGGCCGGAGGCCAGAGCCAGAGAAGAGACGAGACCATGGCAGCAGTGTCGGGTGACGCCGGTGCAGAGGAGGAAAGGCCAGGAGTCCTGGATGCAGGGCCCCCGTGGCTGGAACATGGTGGGATGGATCCTCCCCTGGGGCCTCCGGAGGAGCCAGCCTGTGGATGCCTGGATGGTAGCCAGGGGCCCTGTCAGGCTGCCCACCTCCAGGGCCGCAGCTAAACCGCGGAGGACCTGGTGCAGCAGCCACGGGAGACCCTTCAGGCGCCCAGCTAGTCTGCGGACAGGGAGCTCAGCTGGCTGGGCCGAAACCGGGGTCTCCAGGGGCCCCCTGACTGAGAAACGCCTCTGCTTCTGGTGGCTTCTAAACTGTCACACCACCTCCTCGTCCCTCCTTGGTGAGGCTTCTGGCTTTTCATACCTGGCAAACCAGTACACACTGGCCACCACGGTAGCTAGCAAAGCCCTCTCCTGAGCCTGGGCCCTGAACCAAGTCCATTACCTTACCGCTCCTTGGGTCCTCGCGCTGGATCCCTGTGGGACCTTCACGGCGTCACCCACAGAGGTGGAGGGTCCTCATTCAAGATCCTCTGTTGGATCCCTGCTTTCAAACATTTGTGGGGCCCGTCTCTGTTCCTCTCGTGTTCTCTTCTTCCTGTCAGAAAACCTGGGAGCCTTAAGCCCTAGTTGCTAGGATGCTGGAGATCCACGGCACTCGGGGCCCTGGTGTGAGTTATTTATTTTCTGGGGTACTGGGGACTGAGTCCAGGGGTGCTTTACTACTGAGCTGCATCCCCAGCCCGAGCCCTTTCTATTTTGAGACAGGGTCTTGCTAAGTTGCCGCGGCTGGACTTGACCTTGCCACTCTCCTGCTCAGCCTCTGGAGTACTGGGACCACAGATGTGCCCCGGTGCCAGCTTGGGGCCTTAATATCATGGCTTGGATGTGAAATGCCTGCCAAAGCCTCATGTGTGGGAGTGTAGCAGTGTTCAGAGACGGGTGTTTTGGGGAGTGGTTGGGTCATGAGGGCTCGACGGCGTAGCCCACCAATGCTCATAGCTGGATGCCACATTTGGAGGTTTAGGGGCCTGGGTTTTGCGGGTGCCCTTGAAGACTATGTTCTGTCCCTGGTTCCTTCCTTTCTCTCTCTCTCTCTCTCTCTGCTTCCTAGCTGGCATTCCTGAGTGGCTTTGCTCTGCCAGGTCCTTTTGCCATGACATTCTGCCTCACTTCAGGCCCAAAGCAATGGAGCCATCCAAGCCGTGACTGAAACCTCTGAAAGCATGAGCCAAAACAAACTTCCCGCTTCCAAGTTGTTTTCCTCGAGTATTTTGTCATAGCAACAGAAAGCTGATGAACACACTTCATTCGTGAGTCCTGAGAGATGGTGTCAATAGACAGTGACTGAATCATGAAAAAAAAATGAAGCTCTTGGGCTGGGCCTGGGGCTCAGCAGTAGAGCACTCGCCTAGCACGTGCGAGGCCCTGGGTTCCCTCCTCAGCACCACATAAAAGTAAATAAACAAAATAAAGGTATTGTGTCCAAGTACAGCTAAAAAAAAAAAAAAAGCAGCTCTGATATGGGGCATGGCGTCTCTCAGGCCATGTTCCATGTGGGCAGTGCCGTCGCACAGATGGGCAAGCTATGAAGAACAGACGCTCTCTGGGGTCATGGCTCCGTCCAAGATTAGGGCCTATATGTGGTGCTGGCCTTTCTACTGGCCCAGTCCACAGAGGGTGCAGGGCACCCCTCGGTGAGAGAGAGGGACGCTGGAGCCACTGATCCCTGAGTGGGTCCACCCACTTATGACGGCCGCGTCTCCTCACCCTCTTCAAGGTCCCCCTGGCGCCCCACCTCTTAATGGTTCCTGCTGGAAATGAAATCTGGACTCGGAGGGTGAGTCCCATTCCAGCCGCAGCAACGTGAGGAGCCTCAGACGCACAGCACCAAGCACGCTGCAGACACAGACTACGCGCCTGCCGCAGAAGGCCACCCACAGGCAAGCTCCAGGACAGGCCACTCAGCCACGAGGGGCCTCCGGATGGAGGACGGGGCTGGGCAGTGGGCAAGGACCGCGCAGTGGGCGTTGGGTCTGCTTCTGGGTGATCAGAGAGTTCTGGGCTGCCCATGGTGGCGCATGCCAGCAATCCCAACTTAGGAGGGAGGGTCACAGATTTGAGGCCAGCCTGGGCAACGGGGTGAGGCCACACGTCAAAATTGGGGGAAAAAAAGCAGCGTGGATGTAGCTTGGTGGTGGAGTGCTCCTGGGTTCATCCCCAGCACGTGCGCGCGCGCGCACACACACACACCTGGACCAGACAGAGGTGGTGGTGACGCTTTACCAGTGTACTAAATGCCACTGAATCATGAACTTTAAAATTCTATGCTATGGTAATTCCACCTGAATTAACAAACAAAATTAAAATTGAGATGCTGAGGGAGGGAGGGAGGGAGGAGGAAGTCTGGACGCTGGGTCTGAGGGAGGAGCTGGGTCAGGACTCCTGGATCTGACGGGGGAGGGCTGGTGTCTAGATTCTTGGGTCCTTGGAGTAAGGAGCAGGAAACCTGACTCAAACCTGGGTACTGTAGGAGAGGGGGCCAGAAGGGAGGACTGCTATGTGAAAGACAAGAGGAAAATGTCCGAGCAGAGGAAGTCCTGCTGTCTGGGGAGGATTTCAGAGGCAGATTCCACCAGTATGGGCGCTTTCCCACCCACACTCTGCCTGCCTGGGGAACTCCAGCCTGGCAGGAAAGAAAGGGAGAGGGGAAGACAACTGGAGGGGTAGAGGCGGGTCACCAGGGCTCCACACCCAGCTGCCCAAACACAGAAAGTGTAGAGAGGGAGGAATCCTCAAGAGAGGCCTGGATCCTCAGTCCCTCAGTAGGTAAGGCTGGACCCCAGGGCTAAAACCAGTGCAGGTATTCCAGAGGAACTGTGGCCCCAGGTGGACCCCTGGGTCTTAGGAGGGGAGAGGACTGGGGGCCCAGACTCTGGGGTCCCCGAGGGAAGAGGAGGGAGAGCTCTGGAGGCTTAGATTTCTGGGTCTAGGGCAGGACAAATGCTGCAGTTTGGAAGTTGAACCCACAAACTGGAGGAAGGAGGTTAGGGGCTCCCTGAATCTGAGGTGCTGCCTGCTGAGTTCTGAGGAGACGGGAAGTAGTGGTTTGGGGGTGAGGGCCACAGTCAGATCCAAGGTCGAACAGGTGCTGGGGCCTGGACTTTGCCTCTATAGGACGTGGACGACCTGCCTGCCCCTGCCCCACCCAGAATCCCTTCCCTGAAGGCTCACCAGCCCCAAGCTACAGAGGGAGTTCCAGAAGGACAGGGACTGGGTAAGGCCAGGGCCCTGGCCTGGAGGTGGGAGAAGGGAGAAGACCAGGGGAGACCAGGGTTGGGGAGGGGCCAAGGACTGAAAGCCATGGGAAGTAGCCACAGGGCCCAGGGCTAGGGCTTCGCTGGCTCCTTTAGACCCCTGCCCATTACTTCTGCCTGGGAGCCAAAGGGTCTCAGAGCCCGATGGTCTCCGTCCCACACACCTCAGCGCTGGTCCTCCCTCGCCAAGCAGAGAGGTTGCCGGCCCCAGGCCCAGCCCTTCTCCTTCCTCTGCAGAGCCCAGCATGCGGGGCTACCTGTCCCTTCTGCCTGCTTTCCTGGCACTCTGGGCTATTGCTGGTGTCTGGATCGTGTGAGTGTCGAGACCAGATGGACCCCCCCATCCCGGGTCTCAGGGAAGAGGTTGGGTCTGGACCCCTGGGTCTGAGGGAGGAGGCTGGGCCTGGACCCCTTGTCTGAGGGAGGAGGCTGGGCCTGGACCCTGGGTCTGAGGGAGGAGG